TGTAAAATAATACCAGGCTAGTCAGTATAAAATATTTTTCCACGTGTACAGGTTTGTGCTTAAAATGTTTCCTAACATCAACCTAATGTATCAAGGTTTTAATAACTGGGTGTGTCCTTATTATTTTGAGATCTTGTTAATATGAAAATGTAAGCATCACAAAAGAAAAATAATAACCTTACAAAATGTATGGTGGCATTACCTATGATAATTATTAAGGGATTAAAAATGATAACACAGAGAGGGAATCTCACTATAATGTAGTTGTGGGAGAGGATGCAGAAGAGCAGTCTTACAGGTGCTGGACCTCTGTGCTGCGATGTCTGACTTTTGGGAAGTACAGGAGTGACAGAGGCCTGGCCTCCTCCTCCCAGACTGTGAGAAATGTGAGCCGTCTCTCCTGGGAGCTCCAGTCTGCTGCATTTTGTTTTCACTGGAACTGTTGTGAATTTTGTTTGTTTTGGGAGCTCAGTGGTTTCCAGCTCTAACTAACCCTTACCCAACCCCCACTCCTTGTTCCCCAGAAGTACTAGTTCCCGTTTAATGGAAACCAAATGTAGGTGGTGCCGCCATTACCACAAGGCTTTTCAAATCTTGAATCGTAAGGCACGAAAGGTCATGTTTTTTTATCACACGTCTGCTCTCGTAGAGTTAATATGGAAAGAAACATATACTCTTAAACCTCAGCTGCGTAGTTATTTGGTCCATGTCAGTTTCTTTGACTAACGCATGCACTCTATGGCCTAGTTATTCATTTTGAGTAAATTTTGTGTTGGCATGCTACAAGTGTTTAATGTGCTGTATTTTTTGCCTCACCAGTACAAGAGCCTGTATCTTGTAAATCCTGAAATGGACAAAAAAAGCATAGCCGTCTGATCCTACTGTGTGAAGGACTGTGACTGAACTGTGTCTATTGTGCTGAACAAGCTGAGACCTGCTTTGGTAGCCTGCCCTTGTGCCGCTGCCCTTGTGCTCGGATGCACAGATGTGCCCATTGACCCAAACACAGCACCTCTCGCCACCCCCTTGACATTCCCTGACTTCCTTCTGGACTCCGGTTCACAGTTCAGCGCCCCTGAGGCCTGCGTGTCAATCAGTCTTTTGTTTCATTTCAGCCTTCTTTTAAATTTAATTTCATTTTCGTTTTCTCTAGAGCCGCACATCGAGCTCCGGGTTGTAAATGTTTTCAAATGCTCTCATGGAAACCGGTTCTGTCGTGGGCGCAGGGTGATGGGGCTGGATGTTGAACCCGCACATCCCCTGGCAGGACAAGAGTATGAGAGTCTCTGCCCCTTATGAGTTTGTGGGGTTCAGAAAGGTTTTTATGCTTGATTATTTGTGATTGATATATAGGATATAATCAGTTTGTATGATTTTTAAAAATATATATATATATTGTTGTTAAATAAAGGAGGGCATGGCAGTGCTTCTGCCTCATTGGGGACCTAGGTTCTAGTGATGCACGGGTGAGTACAGGTTTAGCCATGGGTCGGGAGCGCTTGGGTTAAAAACTTTTTTAGATCTTGTCGGGCAGGTGCGGGTTCGTTTCTCACAACCGCAGGTGGGTACGGGTAAAAAAAACAACCCGCTGACCCGCACATCGTTGGTTGGTTCAATTCTGGGCTTGTGGCGCTATCTGCGTGGTGTTTGCACGTTCACCTCGTGTTTACGTGGGTTTCCTCAGGGTCCTCTGGTTTCTTCCCATAGTCTAAAGACATACTCGTAATTTAGCTCCTGGAAAAAAAATTGGTCTTAGTTGTGAGTTTGTGTTGTGCCTGTGTATACTCTGGCTGGACTGGCTTCCCATTCAGGGTGTATCCAGCCTTGTGCCCATTGCTTGCTGGGGCAGACTGCAGTTTCCCCGTCACCCTGAAGGCTAGAATCTTGAAATTAATTCAGATGCGCGTATATCTACCTCTTTTTGTATCATGCTGTATCCTACCCTTTTTACAATGCTACCCCAGCGTACTCCCAACATCGGTGCCTGACTTAGTGGAGCACTGGAATGGAATCTGTAGCTTGTTTCATAGTAACACAAGTTTCTAGGTGAGTATTTCCATATTGTCTGCCACTAAGAATGATGATTTAAAACTTCGCATCTCAAGTTCTGGCCATTTTCTGCACTTCAGGCTCAATTACAATAATTTATCAACGAAAATAAACCTTGATTAAAGCGTCAAGGTGTAATGATTCATATAGTATATTACCTGCAACAGATAAAATAGTGTAATAGAAGTAGTTATATTGCAAATCCCCTCTATATTTTTTTGTTTTAAAACTGCACTTGTCTTTGCTGTGTGGTTGTCACGCATGTATTTAAGTAACAAACAAGGCAAGCTGTGCAGTTAAACATGACAGAACTGTGAAACTAATGAATATGCTAAATCCATAAGAAGAAAGTGAAACGAGAAATTCATTTAGTCCTAGCAGTACTGAATCATTAGATTCGGCAAGTACTACGTTCATTCTTGCATGACAGTGGTTACGGGTGCCTCTGAAGCTGCACATGTTGGTTTAGGCCAGGGTCTTCCTTGTGAAAAGCAAAGTAAACATGAACACATTTACTATGGAGCCATTTCTCCTATGACCTGTATAACCGAGAGGATTTCTCTGTGAGGATGGCTCCGTGGGTTGGTGTCTGAGTGTCATACGGCAGCACCCAAAGCTAAGGTGAAGCGCCAAGCCTCACACCTTACACTTCAGATGAGCCACACATACAGGCACCCACCACTGGGACACGGCTCAGCAGCCTTGCAGATGGCTCCAGTTGGGGAATCAGGAGCTGAACTTCTGAGGATGTGTATGAACAGCTTGTGGCCGTTCACTCTTCTGTCTACCTAGTGGTAAAGTCATATTGGTGCTAGTGTTGAATCTTAAAGTCCTCTTCAGTTAAAAACACACTACATATAGAAGTGTTCAAAACAAATATTTCCCTCTAGGATTTTCAGAAAAGGCACCCTGACCTGGAAAGGCAGGCCAGCTTTTATATTTCATTATAGAGCAGAGGAAGTTCACCAAAAGAGCCAGATGGGTCCCCTCTCATGTTTAAATGTTCCTATGTTCATATTTAGCACATTGAAGGTAGGCTGTAAATAGTCCCAACAGTGCAACTGAGTTTATTTATTCTTTATTTACAGAATGACGCAGACAGCAAGTGAACAGGGATATGTTTTGGCTCAGAAAAATGCTTCTTTTGAGTCTTTGCATGTCTGTAATTTTCTGCTCCCACCTGCTCATTACTGTACGCCAGCCCCAGTACTGTGGTGCAGAGGAGCAAATTTAAGGAGGCTGTTCTATAAGAGTGGAAAAGGGGGGCGGTGCAGTTCACAGCTGTGGACCCCCCAGTTTGGTTGCCTCCCCTGCAGCTTCCTCACGTCATCGGCTTCCAGGTTTGTTCCACAGCAAAGGCACCAGGAACGGTACCAAGGAACAGGCATGATGAGCACTGCTGCAGACCAGTGTAGTGCAGAGGAGCCACCTGGGCATGGTGCGGGATCTGCTGCATGCCGTTTTGTGATATCAAAGGAATTTAAACACTTGATTTGCAACCGCAGTAATGAAACCATTGTGACATGAAAGGAACTAAACCGTTTGTCTTCAAACTGCTTCTTCAAGATCTGTCTTTTTTTTTTCCCCCCCAAGCAGAAAAGCATAAAATCCATATTCTTCTGTGCTGCACATTTAAAGAACTTCATGAGTCATTAGAACGTGCACCAGGATTGTTGTTCCTTCATTTAATGATTTTGAATGAATAAAAATAAGAACACGTAAATCCAGACAGCAGACTCTAAAGCTTCTGGCTGCATCTCGTGCTGTCTTGTGGTGCTGCTGGCGACAGGGTAGTGTGAGTGCTTCCAGATGTGCTTTGCTATGCCGGTTGTAATACTGTCCATAATCTGAGAAGGAGCATTCCATTTTTCCTTTTCCCTTTGTGTTTGTTCCCTCTTTTCATCCAGTGGGAGTGTTCCACATCTTCACTGTTGCTTAGATTTTGCCGTTTGTTTGCTGTGTTGTTCAGCAGTGCCTTGCTCCCTTGGTGCATGCATATTTCATGGAGCAGACCATCACACCGGCAGGGATGTGAACAGCATGGCCTGCAGTGTCGGGGGGGGGGGAGGTAGTAACTGCCTTCCCATCTCCACTTAGAGAGCAGCTCCGATCACTGTAGTCCACAGCAGGGTATAGCCTGTCTTGCAGTGTTTTATGTGATGTCTGTAAATGTTGTGATGATTTTCTGCTTTCTGCTTTTGGAAACCCTAATTCATCAGTCATGCCAATGAAACACTTTCAAATTGAGAGGGAGCAGGAGAGGTGGACCAGACAGATGGTGTTTGGGCAGTAAACAGTTAGGATTGAAGGGCTTTATTTACTTCAAGGGAAGTGTCATTGTAAAGGCCATCCTGGGGGGGGGGAATTCTCTGTGTGATGAAGACTGAAAGTGCTCTTTCTGCAGGTCTTAGACTTCTTCACAAGAACAGTTACTGCTTCAGCTGTCTCCTGGAGAGAAGCTGGTCATTTTAAATATGGTGTAGACAAAAATCAATCTTTCAATCATTGATGTGCTTGTACACCTTTTTTTGCCTTTTTAAAGAAACCCATTGACTTTTTTTTTGAGAGGTTGTGTATTTTCATCTATCAAAATGTATCCCATTTTTTTAAACGCTTAGGAGATGATACTACATAACCATAGTTTAGATTACCTGTTACCATGATGTCACCGCCGTTTCCGCGAACACTCTGAGTAAGGCACTTCTGCTTTTGTGTAGCCAACTCAGAGCTGCATGGTGCACTCATCAGCAAGCTGCAGAGTGAGTGTCTGAGAGTCATGCAATCACAGGGAACTGCTTTGATATTTAACACCCCCCTTTCTGCATCTTTTAGGAGCTTTCCATTTGTGTGAAAGGACTGATGTAGAATTTATAATGCCTTGGTGTGTTTAACCAGGTACTGAACCTTTGGTAATGTAACCTCCTGTCCTCTTCCCCTGCCTGTGATTACAGCAAATGGTTATGAGCCTTCGCGTTTCGGAGCTCCAAGTACTACTGGGATACGCGGGAAGGAACAAACACGGACGTAAGCACGAACTCTTAACGAAAGCTCTGCACTTACTGAAGGCTGGCTGCAGCCCCGCTGTGCAAATGAAAATCAAAGAACTCTACAGACGGAGGTTCCCCACCAAAATGGTGACGCCGGCAGAGCTGTCGCTGCCCAGCGTGCACTCCACCACAGCCCCGCTGCCCGCTGGCCTGCCCCAGCTGAGCTTCGACGGCCACGCGGCCAGCTCGCCCCTGCTCCCCGTCTCCCTGCTGGGGCCCAAGCACGAGCTGGACCTGCCGCACCTGCCTTCCGCGCTGCATCCTGTGCACCCAGACGTCAAGCTGCAGAAGCTGCCTTTCTACGACATGCTGGACGAGCTCATCAAGCCTACCAGCCTGGGTAAGCACCGCCCGAGCAGCGCTGCCTCTGGGCTGCTGGCACTCGCTGTCAGGGCTTTCCATTGCCATCCCGAGGCGCTTCAGTTACAGCTCTTAACACCACGACAGTGGAACTAAACGCATTCAGTTTTAGAAAATTTAGGAAATTTGTAACTTCTTTTTTTTTTTTAATTCTGGGCATTGTGGGGGGGGGGGGATATTTTTACGTTTGCGAAAAGTATTACTCCAGATTTCCTTTTATTTTTAATGTTGCCGTTCTCGCCTGTGTTAAAAAAAGTAGATATTCCTTAGCCCCCTGAAGAAGATAAAATGCTGTTGTTGGAGTTACATAGTGTGTGTGACCTGTTGAATTACAAAAATGATTGATAAATGCTCTGTCCAAACCTTGACAACACCCTTTATAAAATTTTAGGATGGGAAGCTTGCATGCTGAAATAGAAACGTATATTTCCAGTCCTTGTACCGCTGTCCTCGCTTAATGTCAGACTGTTCTTTTCATTGTTTTTGCTCTGATGTGTAGTTGTCCCTATGTATATTGCCCACTTTTTTAACACCATCCCAGTTTTTGACAGTGTCTGTCTTAAATTGCTAAATTACTGTCCAGAGCACTGTTGCAACCAGAACTCAAACTCAGAAGGTGGTAATTTTAGAACACTAGAATTGGCTGGCAGGTGAGTCTTTGAAAGAAACTCCCCTAAGAAAAATATTAGCTTTCCATCGGTGGCTTGGATACTAATGAAGGTGTATTACTCATAGCTTACAGGGGATGACCCTCTTTATCCCAGTAATAATTTGAAGACCGTAATGAATGGCCTTGATTAAGTGTGAGAACAAGACTGTTTGGCTGTCTGAAGTTGTAAGAAGTCTCAGTTGCAGGTTCCTGCTTGAGATCTGCTACCAGGGAAGTAAGTGAAGGAGGACTGTAATGTAGTAAATGGGCTGAAGAAGACTGCCATCTTTCCTAATTTTGTTACAGTTTGTTGTTCCTGAAGGTTCCACTGATAGCGGAAGTAGAAAAGATGCTAAGATCCTGCTTGGCAACATTAGAAGCTAGTGTCCCTATCCCATTACAAAGCATGTATATTGCAATTCCCCATTGATTGAAATGTCAGTCAAATGACAAGCTATATTACAACATAGGTGTCACACGTCACAGCTTGTGCTTCTGTTGCTGTTTTTTCAAAAGGTTAACAGATTGACAGCAGTCCATTACTAAACATGATACATGCAGAGTAGAATTATAACCACAAGTGTTCTGTTTCCTTATACAATCTCAACTTCTGAGCACTTGTTAAGCCTACACAGAGTGTGTTTCAGATCTTGGGGTTGACAGTCTTGTTTGTCAAGAGTGCACTGGATGGTTAATGCTGTGTTTGTTTTTTACTTGGTTGTATCAAATAACCCTGACTTGTTATTCTTAAGTAGTTATAAAGTTGTGATAAGGGTGTGCCAGCCACACCTCATTACTGACACTCCTAATGTGATGTTTGCCCACTCAGCTGGTAAAAATATCACATGGGCATTGTAGGGCGAGTCTGTAAATCTGATGTGGCATGGAAAACTGGACTGTCCAGGTTAGGTTCTGATAAATAAGTCTTCATCACTACAAGACTGTGTTCCATTATATTCCAACATGTAAGCAGGGAGCACATGGAGGGACAGAACAAAAGAATATTGTTTGCTTCAACAGAATCTCGTATGATTGGTTTGTGCTTGGGAAGATTTTCATCACCTAATTTGTTAGTGAAAGCGGGATTTCCATGGAGTTGTCTGTTTTTTGTGGGTGGCTATAAATGATATAAATTTGCATAGGAAATTAGCACAGCAGGTTAAGTGTAGTGGGTCCAATATTAAATCTCATATAATGGTCTTGAGTTCTCACAGTTTGTGTTTGTAAGTTATAAATTACATGTTTGAAAAAGAGAATAGAAAATGCATTGGTGTAGCTGTATTTCACATTCATCAACATAAATTATAGGATTTTCTTTGTGAAAAGTTGACTCAAAGACTCAAATGAAGCACCACACTTTCATCCATTTTATAATTTCAAGGGATTTTCTTTTCTTCTCCACCACATACTATTTAAGAGTAGGTTTTGGTTTGTAGAAGGAGAGCTCTAAGAGTGTTGTAGCATAGGTCAGTAGGGCTCTGAAGAATCTGGCATGCTACAGATTGGATTGAAATGATTGGCAAATGTTGGATGGTGTAATTACACAAATTTGAAAGTCTTATCTCTCTTAATTCATTATAAAATACTTTAAATGCCTAATCTTAGAAATGTATTGGTATGCCAGCATATTTTTATAAGTGACATGGAAAAAAACATTACTTTTCCCAGGATTAATTGTTTCATGCTACAAGGATGGGGAGCCTTGTCAGTTTGCTAACTACAAAACAAACAGAATACCCAAGTCCACACTGTGCACAGCTCTCAGTCCTGCAAGTAAATTACAGCCCTTTTTGCAAGCTCTCTCAAATATTAATGTGATGATGATGGTCTCTTAATATTTCAGTATTTTGATTTGGCCTGTTCTACTTTCTCAGCACATTTTATATTCCTTTATAAGAAGCTGTGTGGTCAGTGTAATTTGTTAGAGCTTTGCTTATATAATTGTTGGTTGTTGTGTAACACTGGTATTTGTTAGAGGTGACTACAATTAATAAATTCCAGCTTTTTCAAGATGTCATGTGCATAATCTGAGTGCCTGTGAATGACTTTTGTTTAGCTTATTTTTCCTGCTGCTCATGTCACTTATTGCTCACACTTGTATTGGTTTGTATAGATTTTGGATTTAACAGTTCATACAATTAGTCTGTGTGGGGAGTGGAGAATGAGGTTAGGGAGCTCAAAACCTAGGTAAGGATAATTGGTGCACATTTCATGTAATGTGTGTAGGACAGAGAATTGTTTCTGGAAAGTTCAGTTAGATACTGGTCAGTAACCTGCAGCCTTATTTGTTTCGGGTTCCGGCTGAGAATCTACACCTCCAGATTAGTACTGCATCCCTTTGGCAGAGAAAATTAGATGGTGTCAATGTGCTGCTATATTTAGCTTTAGCATTGGAGAGGTAGGACAGAGTGCTGTGCAGCACTGGGGCAAGAACAGCTCTAATTGTGTGCTGAGAATCCATGTAGGCATTTTAATTATACCCTGGATGATTAATTTTAACCTGCCGAGAGTACATTGTGTGCTTTCGTGTTGATTGTGTGAGATCATATTAAAGCACCTGTTTGCATTTTGTTTCTTAGAGGGTCTGTGCATTTATTAGTATATTTTTATACTTAATTATCATTTAAATTGAGCTTTAGGTAAACAGTGCTCATTTTCCTATTTTCACAGCTATTGTTTTAAGATGAAACTGCAAAATGAGAGGAAGATAATGAAGCATTTGACAAATGGTTTTACCCATGTAATTATAGTGTGATAAATACAGAGGAATTACATTTTGAATCTCAGTGGGTTCTAAATGCTTTTTGTTAGCGTGAAGTATAACAGTAGTTGGGAGACATTACAGCAAACGAGCACACAGCCTCTGATCTCTGTCCTGAGGAGACCTCCTGTTTAAACAGATTGAGATTGCATAATCCCAGGCTATTTCTGGATCTTCGTCTCTGTTTTACCTTGACACAGGCCATATATACTGAGTTATTTGGTCTCAATTGCTGTCATTTGTAAATAACCACCTTATGAAGTTTTCTAGTGTCGTCATGCAATAAGTGAATTCCACATGTATTTTTTTTAATCGCAGTGCCGGTAGTGATGCAGAGACTGGAACAGCACTAATAAAACATGTCTAGACGTGTGCACTGAATTGCAGCCATGGATGAAAACCTGATACATTGGATTGTCCACACCTCCCCCTCCCACCCCTAGCACAAGCAGTCATTCGCTCAGTATGTTTGAAAATGTGGCTGCTGCATTGTACTGGGAGATGCACGCCAATACATGCAAACATCTTGCGGCATCAAACCGTCAGAGCAAACAGCTCCCTCTTTCCCCATCTGGTCTGCTTTCACTAGGGACAGCTCCTTCACCAGTGTCGCGCTGTTTTCACAATTTGGGTTTGATCCCTGCCGCCACACCCAGGGGACAGAATGAGGAAATGTAGATAGATTTCCACTAGAGGTTCAGCGCTGATTGGAGAAGAGGTGCGTCCCTAACTGACTGCATGGCATGGCTGGAGGCCACAGCGGTTGCAGTGTTGTGGAGAGCCCAGAGAGCCCTGACCGACTAACCCCACCCTTCCTGCTGGGCGGGGCGTCGCTGTCCCAGTCGGCTAGTGACCCAATCCAGGCTTAAACCCTTGATTGCAGGGCTCAGCTTTGTGCTTGGGTGAGTGCCTTCACTGGCTGGGCTACTTGGATTGAATAGTAAAAATGTTAGTGTGGCTTCCTATTAAATATAATTGATTTAATATTTAATCATTCGCATTTGTACATGATTAGAGCCAGACGGTCTGTGCTCGAAACTGTACTGTGGGGTTTCTTTGGAGCTCTTGTGTCCCAGTGTAGTAGTGAGAAACGCATTGGGACTGAGGGAAGGTGGAGGCTGCTGCTGGGTTAATGCAATGATGTAATAAGGGACCTTGGAGACTGGAGAAAGGATGAATTCTGGGTGTGAGCCTGACATAATGCTGCAGGCACTTCAGGAATTTAGGAGCAGTTTACAGGCATTCAGACAAATTCTGTGTTAAATGTATACAACTTTGACAAAGAGGCAAGGGGTATGTTAGAATGTTTGTAACATTGAGTTGAATGTTGTCCCAGCTGTATTAAACTTTGTTGTAGCTTTAAAATGGATCACTTAGTGACGGTATACTGTTTCTACCTGCATTGTAAAGCATCAGAATATGTAGTTAGTTAAATTGAGCATGTTACAATAGGAGTATCTGATACATACAGCAGTATACCTCCTATCTAAGGTTATAGTATAGTTTTGTTTCCCTTAAGTTTTTCCATGATCTAGTTGTGAACCAGAAGGCCTAGTTCTAGTTATAGAATAAGTCATGACTTCATATAATGATGAGAAGGGGAAAGAGTGAGCTTTTGATCTTGCAAAGGCTGGAGAGTTGTCCTGGTTTACTGACAAGAGCTGCAAGGACTAGAGACTGTTGATAACAGGTTCAGACTTGCTATGAGCACCCTTCTTACTGACATAACAGTTAGGAGTCAAACTGTTATTCCATAGCAGTGCAGAGAGTGAAATGACATGTAATCCTTGTGGAGAAGTAAGAGTTGTTCTTACCTAAACATTTAAAAGCTAATTGTTGTTAGCATCTGTCTATTTTTAAAATTAATCCCATCTAACATTTCCTTGTTGCACAGGCTGTACTTTATTGCCATCATCATTGGCCTGTGAATGATGTTTTTCTCTTTTTTTCTTTCTTTTTAGCATCAGATAACAGCCAGCGGTTTCAGGAAACATGCTTTGCTTTTGCATTAACGCCTCAACAAGTACAACAGATTAGCAGCTCAATGTAAGTGTTCCCTGGTCTTCAGTGCTGGGTGCAGCTGAGACAGTTGCACAGCTGGTCTCGGAAAAGCAATGGGACAGTTCATGAAACTTGAATATACTGTTTCATTCTTTCATTGCAGAATACATTTCATTGTGTGGTCATCAAATATTTCATGAACCCGCTGGGGAAAATTTAAATTTTTATTTGGTATATTATCCTGCACAATGTAATGCCGCAGAAACCTTTTACAAATAATTTGGGGCAAATGCATCAGTGTCGAATGAACAACCATTAGGCGTGAGAGAGAGGAAAAAGATGTATATGCATTTTAATACCAATATAAATAAATGCAGTTTGAGGGGCAAAATGTCCTTTGTGAAATGAAATCAATGTACATGAATCAACA